AGTGAAGACTAAGGATACATAGCATACGGTTGCGCGCTTAAGGAATTTGTATGATATAATTATTTCAGGAATCATATGTAGGTAGCCCAAGTGGGAGATAGTTAGGAAACGTGGGTTTCTTATATTGTGGGCCACATATTTATTCAAAAATTATTTTAAGCTATTTAATTAATTGGGCTAATTAAGTGATCTAATTATGAAAAGCCCAAATAGCCTAACAGGGTATGGGCTGAATGGGTGGATACCCATATTGACTCAATTAGGTTTAATGGGAGCCTAATGGGGCATTATATAAAGAAACTTAGGTTATGGTCCCCAATACATCAAATCATTCAGCAATTTTCATTCTTCCCCATCTAGAGAGAAAACACTCCATTCAAGAACTAAGGAGATTTGATTGAGGAAGGCAATAACTATCGTGCTCATAATCTCAGAGAATATTACTGGAGATTCATGGTTGCATCAATGGAGACAAGTATTTGTTCTAACTTATTGTCCTAGTAATTTAGTATGATGATTCCTGGAATGTGGAATAATGACTCCTAGGATGTGAAATAAGAATTTAAAGATCCAACAATACGTTCTTTTGCTTCAGTTGCCTTTCGTATTATTTTCCTCTCAATCTTCTCTATGTGCTTCTGTTTTTTTTTTTCTTCTTTGATATTTTCGCTTTTGGTTTTAGTTCTTCTTTTGACATGTAGGTTAATCCTCTGTGTTTTCTTTCAGATAAGCCTCTAGAGTTTGTTTCCATTGAAAATTTTTCCTTTATTTTCCTTTTCTTTGTCCGCATGATTTCTGATCTTTTGGGTTTTGTTTTTTTTCTTCTTTTGAGATTTGGGTTAGTTTTCAGTGGATTTTTCCAGATAAGGCTTTAGAGTTTGTTTTTGTTAAAAAAAATTTCTCTCCTTTTGTTTTCTTTGTTTGTATGATTTATGATCTTTTAGGTTTTTATTTTTTATTTTTTTCCTTATGTTCTTTATTTCCTATTTCCGTTAGCTTTTAGATTTAGATTTTCTGCACATTTTTTCATTCCCTTTCTTTTTAAATTTGTTTCGGTTCCTTCTTTGATGTTTCGGCCTTCTGTTATACTTATTCTGCTAACATTTTGGTTCATCCTATGGGTTTTTATTCCATGAAGCTTCTACCGTTTTCTTCCTTTGAGATTTTCTTTTTTTTTTTTATTTCTTTTGTGAGTCTGCATGTTTTCTTACTTTCTCGGTTTCCTTATTCCTTTTTTTGTTTGTTAATTTCTTTTTTTTTTCATTTAGTTTCTTGGTTTTTTTTTTTTTTGTTAATCCTCGGGGTTTGTCTGGAAGTTTTCTAATATTTTCCTTTTATTTCTTTTTTTTATCTTTTATGTAGTTTTTACTAATGATTACATGGGTTTGTTCTGTTTTGCAGGAATCCTTATCGGGGAATGATCATACAGTTTTTTTTTTACTTACTATAATTTTATCTAACGTCGTTCTCATGTTTTACTGTCTGTTGGTTATTGGCTCTGTTTTTCGATAGCTTTCATGCTGCGCAACCCCTGTTTTTTTTTATAATTATTACATTGCCTCATCTGTGTTTGCAGGATTACTTATCCGGAGATGAACATAACTTTGTTCTCTTCATATATATATATATATATATATATATTCTGCTTTTCATTTTATCAGTATCATTTCTTACTTTCTCTCTGTTTTTCTTCGACTGAGGTACATATTTCTTAATTTTTATTTGTTCTTTTCAGTTGCTTTAAAAAGTTAATGTGTTATATTATGAGGATTTTGTATGTTAATGTGTTAGAATGTTATTATATCTATTTACTGTATTTTGTTGTTGTTATTGTGTTTCTATTGACTTTGCTAATATTATTTTAAACTTGAATCTCTGTTTTATTCTTTTGTTAAGAGTCTGCTTTTTCCCCCGTATTCTATTGTTCTTTGGTTATGATGATGTATTTTTCTTTTATTGTTGCCATGTATTGAGTAATTGATAATGGTACTTTGACAGGTTTTAATGTTGTCTGTATTATTTGAGATTTATGTTTTTATAATTCTTCTCCTGTTTTTGGAGAAATTTGTTTCTTTTTAAAAATATGTTCCTCTTCGGTGATGATGAAGTTTTATCCTTTTATTGTTATCATCTGTCGGGTAATTGTTAATGATGATTTAACAGTTTTTGCCATTGTCAGAATTATTGGGGATTTATACTCTTCATCTTTTCCTTTACGATGTTGATGCTCTTTTAACAGTAAGCAGTTTTTTTGGTCCCTTACTTTCATAGATTTATTTTTTTGATGTTCCACTTTCAATCACTTTCCCTTTTATATTGTCTCATTATGGGATTTTTGACTTATGCTTTTATTCGTGTTTGGTCTTTGTTAGTCTGTTTCTGTCCTTTTGGTGCAATTTCAGTTTCTCTCTTTCTTTCCCTTTACTTTTGTTTTTTTCTTGTTTTGTTCCTGGTTTCTTACTGCTTGATTGTTTTTCGACGCTTACGTCGTTCCTGTCCAAATGAAACTTTAAGCATTTGTTCTTTCTTTTTCTATATTTTAATCAATCTTCTGCGTTTTGCTTCTCTCTCTAACATTTTGGTCAGTCTCTTAGGTTTTGTTTCGGTTATGTTTACAATTTCATTCTTCTCTTCCTTCTGGTCGTCTCTACATCTTCTGCTATTTTTCAATTTCTTCTTTTGTACTTAGTATAAATTCTTTTATAATTTAGTTGGCAACCAAAGATATTGTTGAATCAAATGTCAATTACGTATGATGCATGTTGTTAGAAATAAAAGATAATTACCTAAACCATTTGTTCTCTTTATTCTCTTCTTTCTGCTTCTTTGTTGAATCAAATTTCAATTACTTATGATGCATGTTGTTAGCAATAAAAGATAATTACCTGAACCATTTGTTCTCTTTATTCTCTTATTTCTGCTTCTTTCTTATTCTGCTTGCTTTTTTTCCTTCATTTTGCATAAATTCTCTAATAATATAGTTGGCACTGAAGAACATTGTTGAAGTCTATTTCAATTACTTATCATACGTGTTGTTAGCAATTTTGAACCGAATTTTGTATATGTAATCAACTAATTCCTTTGCTTTCTTTTTATATTGTATTATTCATGTAAGTTGGTATTATACATAAACTTTTTCTATTTCCCATTACTTACTCAAAAGGTCATTTTGATGTGGAGAAAAGTGTTAGGTCGTGTATACAAATTGACTATGATATGATATGTTTATACCACTATCATTTATAAACGTCGTTTATTTCACGTCAGAAGATGAAGAAATGATCTAATGATTAGGTGTTTAATGAAATCGTCTTAATAAAAAAAAAGAGTATTATCCGACTACTTAGGAGGACGTTTGGTTCATGAATTCATAATCATTTTCGGTTTACATGTGTTTTTTGCAAGAGAACACTGCAGCGAGCCACGAATTATGATCCGAACCATGACACAGATCTTTACTCCAAACGCACCCTAAATGTTTATGATGTAAATATCACAATAAATGTATTGTATTATCATGTAATGTATTTAATAATGATAATACATTTTACTGTATTTTTGTTTGATTAAGCAACGTCGACATTTTCTTTAAATGTGTATAGTTGAACAAAGACAAAGGCAACATTTCTCTACGATAGAATTTCACATTGTGCAGACTTCTCTCATATGCAAAAGTGAGAATTTCAACGACAGAGATAAGCTTTACGAGTTTTATTTGAATTTGTAGTACAACATATATACATTTTAAATGCCTTCTTCCACTGAAATAATAACAAATAGTCTTTTAATTCTAAGTATTTTATACGGCACTCTAAAAAAATAAATATAAAAAAACAATTATATAACGTTTTAGTAAAAAATTTTCTATATCAATTGCAAAATCTCTTACATTCAGGAGTGTGGAAGGAAGGTAAATTACCATTCACGTTTTACTTCTTTTACATTAAAAATTTAAAGCCAATATCAATAATTGTATAATAATATTTAACTTTATTATAGTCCTCACCAGCAACCTCTTTTACCACAACATAAGTCTACTTCTTCTGTTAACTCATCGAAAAAAAGAAAGCCACCAAAGTATTTTTCTTTTTTTATATTGCCTATTTCTGTAAGAAACAAACTATCACCATCAACTATAATGTACTAACAACTAATATTTATTTTATGCTTGCTTTTTTGCAGCACAGAAGAAACAAAGAAAAAATATAGAGAAGACTAATCAACAAATCACGTGAGAAATATATGTACACATATACATATATATAAATATGTATATATTTGTAAATTAATATATATGCATATGTAATAATTACAACAATCTGTAAACTATATTTTGAGCATGTATAATGGTTTATGTTAACCTTTAAATGACATTATCATACTCTATTTTTCTAAAATATTTTTTCAGTGTGATCACTATTTTATAACTACTTACTATATTATTTAATTTAATCTTATGATAAAATAAATAAAAACACATCCGTGCAATAGCACGGACATCTCACTAGTTTCTACTATAATTGGATTGGATACCCCATTTCTACTATAATTTTTGGATACCCATTTCCATAGGTTAGTTTCACAATTTTAAAAGGAAAAAAAAAATCATAATTTGAATGGAAAAATGTGTATTTTTTTAATGGAAAAATCTGTATTTTTTTAATGGAAAATTCTATTGACGACCCTTAGACCTCTTCTCTAAGAATCTCATATGAGGAATATTTATTATATGATCCGATATGATTCGATCGTTTGTGTAATTTGCGTAATTTGATTATCTACTCTAAGAATCTTACATCGAGGAATATTAATATGATCCGATTGAATCGTTTGCATAAAGCCTAAGGTAGCAACCAAACTGGGAAAATATTCTATGATAAAAGACAATATGCTTCAACTTGGCAATCACACAAAAAAAGGGGTGTGTCTGCACTTTAAACTAGATGAGAATCTTTTTATATCTGTAGTTAAACACAGGCACTTCCCATGTTTAAATGATATGAAGGAAGATTTCAAAATGCTCTAACAATAAATAATCAAAACTTTACCTACCACCACATTAACATAATAGTAATTGTTCAAGCACAGCTTTCCAGAACTAGCTTTCCAGTTACATCTGTTAGTGGTGAAGCTATACTGTTGCAATATAAACAGATTGCAGTAATCTAGAAATGCCCAGATGTTTTCTTGTGTCCTGAACACAGCAAGTAAATCAAGAACCGCAAAAGTCTTGCCAAAATCGAAAACCAGCCCAGATTGTTTCTTCTGTCTCTGGACATAATGCAGCCACAATGAATGAAGACCCCCACAACAATCACAATCAAACTTCATACATATGGATCCCAAACTCATTCTCAGGAAAATTTGAGGTCAGGGCCTACTCTCTTTCCTGTAAAATTTTCACTTCACATCACAGATTCTTCACAACATTACAAGATTCCAGCTACTTAACGGGCTTGACAAAAGGTTCGATTTAGAAAACATGAAGGTTTAAGCTACATAAGTTTGACAACTAGGAGCCAATACACATGCCACATTATTTAGTCTTATGCTACATAATAATAGCTAACGACTCCATAAACAAGATAGTTTCTAAATCTAAGAGAGAATACGATCCCTCAAACTGGTTGATATGGGCAGACGGCTCATAAGGAGCCAACGGTTACACATGATGAAGAAAATGGGATTATGAACCCCCTAGACACCCTGGCTGCTTCTTTTCAGATCATTGTTCTCCTTGGTCAGAAGATCAATTCTAGATTGGAGGATGTTAATCATGGCTTGGGCACTCATCATCTCAAATTTCAATGTGTCTCTCTCTATTGAAACTTGGTGGATCTCATTTTGCAAATCTTGTATGAATTTCACGCAGCTAGGAGGCAAAGATGCATCAAGATTAGCAGCATCGAGCTCAGGAGGTACTGGAGTAGTCTCTTTGGGTTCAATGGACTCTAACAGTGAATACTCCACCAATGCAGAGAGAAAATTTCTCGTCGTCGGTGGTTTATTTGTTGCCGTTGTCATTGTTGACATTGTTGTCGCTGCTGTAGTTACAGAAGAGCCACGATCCTGAGTAGCCCCACTTGAGTTTTCTGATGCATTACAATTGGTAGAATTAGAATCATTATGCCGCCTTCTTTTATACATGAGCAGAGGCGAGGAGACTCGATCAACCACCAATGACAAGTGTTCCTGATCATTTGCCCCTGGTACAGGACGACCATCCAAACTGTCTTCTCGGTTAACCTGACACGGCACTGGATAATCATCTGGTCGTTCGATCTTGCATGCGGATAAAACATTTTGATCATGTCTAGGAAGATCCAAAGCCTTTTTGGTGGATTGAATATCCTGGAATAGTAAATCAATATCAAATTCAAGTTTTAGATGTATAGAGAAATGAAAATATGAAATCAAAGAATAAGGAGCTATAAAGGATTTCAGCCAACAATAATAGGAAATGCATATTCATCATATAATCCTCATTCGGCCTTAATATAAAAGCAAATGTAAATGTTAACTTCAATGAGAAAAACATGACATAGCACATTCTGATGTATCAACCATGGATGCTGAAGCCAAAACTGTACTGGAATTTGTTAATGCCGAAAAGCATAAATACATAATCACACAGTAAAAGTAAATAGACACATAACTCTTTCTTATAAGAAACCAAAACTAAATGAATGAAATAAAAGCACACAAGCTCGGCACAAGAAAACAAGCTATCCTCTAGAAATGATAAACAAAAAAAGAACAAAGACTACAAATAGCCACCCAATCCCGTGTCAACATGAAAGCAGGGCAAGTCCCCCACTAGGACTCCCAGTATCTAACTCTTCCCCCCTACAAACAGATCTTCACACCTTCTAGCCAGTCTTCACTACCCAAAGGATATTTAGCTCCTGAAACTCTCTCCAGTAGTCTCTCAGTTAACAATCTCTCAGCATTGGTGGTCTAACTAACCACAAATCAGGAGTTGAGTTCCCATTTTAAGGGGCTCACACTTTCCGGAAGGTTTTATTTATTTATTATTATTATTTTTAAGGAACATCCGGAGGGGATTCGAGCTCCAATTCCCGATATCTCTTTGTTACCAATCTACCTCTTGCAAAGAGGCAACTACAAATAAATACGAGAGAATTTGGGTAATTCATTCCATTTTGCTTCCCATTCATTTACTTAGTAAACGTGAATGGGAATCAAATTCCTTCTCACTCTAATTCTTAACAATTGTAGCAAACACATGGATTGCTTGACTTCTAAGTTCTTTCCTCTGTACTTCCCAATTTCTCCTTGATTCAATTCCAATAAATTTCCATTACAGATTGGTAAACACATCCTAAAATTTGAACACTTATAAGAAAATATCCATAGTATTGCAAAGGATACTACAGACCTTCACTTTTTGGAAAATTTTGGACCTTTACCTTAACTACCAATACCAATTCTTTCATCCTTGGGGATGGGGGCACAATAAATAATATCAGCCTAGTAAAATCTCAGTTACTTGTCTCCAGGCCTAAAAAACTCTAACAACAATGTCGGGGCCTCATGAACCTTAGGGCCTCATAAAGGATCGAAAGCTATTTTTCATATTGAAAGCTAAATGGCAGCACTTATTTACATGATTTGTGTTGCATTATATCACCCTAACGCAAAGAGTAGCGATGCATTATTTTCAATTCACACGTAAGGAAAGAGGTGGGGCAAGGATTAGAAAGTTTGTCCTAAGTAAACTGTGTTGATAGGAAATCTGTGATCAAAGATTTTCAATTTCTCGTACATGATCTAAAGTTATATTTCTCAATTCCACCCGCCTGGTTGATAACCGTGAGTTTCATACCTGCAAAAGATCGTAGGGCTTGGCAAGGACTTTATTTCTTTTTCTTTTTTTTTTTATTTGAACCTGAGCCTACTAAGCAAGTTTTGTTTTCTAATATAATTTAAATAAAAATAATAATTGGAATTAGATTGAGGAAGAATAGAAAAGGAAAGGGAAAATTGGAATACAAGGGTCATGTTTTTGCTTTTACAAATTGTTAGAACTCTTAGAAATTCCTAAATAGAATGGGAAGGAAATTAATCCCCTTTCAAATGCTTAGTAAATAGAGAGTATGAATAAAGGTCAAATTGATTATCAAAATCTCATTCCAGTTCATCACATCCTTTCCATGTTCTTTTGGGCATGGATAGTGCTATAATCTCATGCTTCCAGAGGCTAGTTAAGCAGCAGGGCTTATAATTTGCTACCACATGATCTATGGACTATGGTTAAATTTTTAGGGCCAATTACCTGATTAATGGCCATAAGTTTATTGTTTCCCAAAGATTGTAGGCTTTTGCAGGGCTCCAGTTTCTAACTTGATCCTTTATGCAGGTTCCGGGGATTTCTAGGATGTCAGAATTAAGATGGAATTGTAGCCAAATTCTCAAGAGCCTCTTCATCCAAGAACTCAATCCTCAATACGTCATTGGGATCACATAATTCCGAATTTTAAAGTAAAGATCATAATAATCAGCAATTAAGTCACTTCATCCTCTACTCCCCTTCAATAACACACCACAATGTCAAATATCAGTAGCTTCCATAGCTCCATCTTCTAAAGAATTATTAGTACTTTCGCTTTTGGATGGTTAATTATTTTTCCCAACAATGTCTTTTATTTCATGAGGGAAATGAAAAACAACAAAATAAATACAAAAGACTATTTTAATTCAACGCTGACTTTCACATCACTATAATCTCCCTAACTCTTGCTATTTCCATGAGAAACACACACATTTAGAAGAATATGTGATTATCTATAGACTATAGCCCATATTCTATCCTATTAAAATCAATGCATGTCCACATATATGGCAACAAGGGACAAAAAAGAATGGGCATTCAATCAGCTTGGTGACCTGTCGTCAAAGATGTTTTCTAATACGACAAACATGTCATCTTATTTGAACAGACAATTGAATTTCTAGTAAATACTTTTTTTTTTTTGAATTTCTCGTAAATACTTGGAATAAAATACAAATCTTCAATAATTTATCCCAGTTTTCAAAACTCATCTTGAGAGATAAATATGATTTGCAGCTAGTGACTTTCATTTTTCTCATGCATCTCCACTGTATCAACGAGATTCGCTGCATTTCTGCAAGATGCTACCATGAAAACGCCTTCAAGGCTTAATCTCATGAATAAAGTTATTCAAACAAGAAAAGTGGTGATGCAAGCACTGAAGATAGTTGTAGCATGAAGATTCAAGGTTCCCAATTGAAAGTTGATTGAAATTGAAAACCTTGCACATATGCTGGAAAGTCATCTTAAGGATGAAATTTGTAATTTAGAGGAAGATCCTTCTCATGATGGAAGATCCTTCTCATGATGGAAGATCCATATAACATGTTGCAAAGAAATCGATTAAAGGCTCAGCACAAAGATAGTTCCAAAAATTATGATTCTCTGGCAATCAATGACGTCTTCCTTCAGAATGATGATGTAAAGGAAAGGTAAAATATTGCAAAAAAAACAATCACTTTCCTTTGCAAGACGTATCCTTGACTATTTCTCTGCCAGCATAGTTTTATATCATAAGAGAGTTTGAGAAAATTGAGCAAGATCTAAGTTTCAGGATCCAGTGGACGAAAGAAATGATGAGATTGTGCCAGTTTCTTTAATTATCATGATGGATAATGATGGAAATTGCCCGTCCATTGCAAATTATTACTCTGGAAAATTCATAAGGAGTTTGCGACTTCAAGATCGTAAGTTCATAACTAGGTTTTGATACGTATGCAAATTGATGAAAGAAAAAAATTGCAATGTTAGATAGGAGAAAGTTCTTGTTTGTATTTGCTTTATGTAGCTATGACAAAATCAAGTGTTGTTAACACAATCATCTATCTTGGTTCAAAACTAGTACTATCCATTATTAGTTTGTTTCTTCCCGTTCCTGAAAATTTTCATTATTTTATCTTTTGGGTTGCCACTTTTGGTTTCACATAAAACTAATTTTGACGCCTACAGTTCGTAATATAACAAATCTCATCACTTAATTCTCATTAATTTGAGAGTGATCTAACAATACGGTCAATTGTTCTTGGTTCCTAAGGATTAAGGGTCAAGAAAGCTTTCACGCTCCAATTCCACATATGCTTCCAAAAATCAACAGACTTTAGGAAGGCTGTAAGATTATTATTGACTTCTACCTTTAACATATACACTATTCTTCACAAGAGCTGGTAACTGTTCTTGGTTCCTAAGGATTAAGGGTCAAGAAAGCTTTCACGCTCCAATTCCACATATGCTTCCAAAAATCAACAGACTTTAGGAAGGCTGTAAGATTATTATTGACTTCTACCTTTAACATATACACTATTCTTCACAAGAGCTGGTAACAATAACAGCCAATTATCTAATTCAAGCCTTCAATTATGGAATTGGTAAGCTGACTTGTGAAAATTGGTACACAAGTCCGTTTAGCACGGGTGCCATTGGATTTGGTTTCACTTGTAAGCTTTGAAAGTCTAAGAAGTAGAAGCTTCTATATGAATAAGCTCATGATCTACGAACTGAAGAAACTAACCACTTGTTTACTCTACTAACAGAAACGGGAATGAGATGAAAGGTAATCATTGTAATTCCACCTTAAACTTGGCTTCACTTGCTTATCTAGAGATCAAAAGTTGGTGGAATCCCCCTAAGAAATCGAATTCCTGAATAGGGGAAAAAAACCATCTGGTGGAGAGGCTTAAATCTCATTCCCTTTCCAAGTGTCATTGATACATAGGGAAGAAAAGGCAATAGATCCTCTTGCCTCCCTTGAATTAAGAAAATTCCAACCATTATGAAGATCTCAAAATATCTTCTATTAGTTCAGAACACACAATAAGAACAATAATTACAACCCTATTTTCTAAGAATATCAGCATTCAGGAAAGGATTTACGCCCTTTTACTAATTGGTTTTCATTTCTTACTGCAGCTACATGTGAATAGTGCTTTGACTTGATATACTCAGCAAGGGGAAATATACATAGGATTTAAAATTTAACTAAGAAATAAGAACTGCTTCACATGCTCGTTTGAATATGTTGAATCGTTGATGATTAATGCTTCCCTTCTTATCACCAATTCTGTACATAATAAGTCTAGCTGCCTATTAAAACGAACATAGTTCGGCAAATTTGGGAAAAAATCTTACTTTGCATACTTTAAGAAGAAAATCAAATGAAAAATAGCTGAAGCACATAAAGCACTAACCTGCATAACTGTATCCCCTTCAACAAGTGTGTCATGAGCATTGCTCTCAATGTACATACGGTGACCATTTCCTCCAATTGCATGGCGACGAGCTACTACTTCATTCGCATTGTCCACTCCGGGCACCACAGCAGAGTCATCGTCGTCCCACTCCTCCTCAATAAAAGGAGCATATCGCTGCCCACTTGGCGGTCCTATATTACTCTTGTGAAATATTCTACACAACACAAAGGCATCCTTTTCCACCCAAAAGGAAAACCACACAATTATTAGACAAAGAAAACAAAATCACCACAAAATAACCAATTTTCCGGTTCATAAACACCAACAATTGAGAAACATCATAAGACATAAATGATAGGAAAAGAAACTAACCACATTTCCAGTTATCGCTAACACAAGAAACAACAACAACATAAAAGCATCAAACAAGGTATGCGGTCAAGGCCCTTACCTGCGCGGCGCCAACCCCGGCTTTCTCTAACTCTTCATCAACAATCCTGTACTCGTGCATAACCCAGTTAGTTCGCTTACCATCTGGAGCCCGCCCGCTATGAAAAACCAATGTTTTCTTCAATCCAACAGTCCTGGAGTCGTGGCGGACCGGGCGGTCATTGCCAGTGGCCTTCCAGTATCCTTGGTTGGTTGCCCTGTTCATCCTAGCCCCATTACCATACTTCCTATCTAAGGCACTGAAAAAGTAGTATTCCTGGTCCCTGCTCTTCAAACTCGACTTATCTACATAACCCAAAGAAAAACAAGAATTATTAACAAGAAAGCACACACAATAAAATGTAGCCGAAGAAAACCTAAAAGCAAAAATCAAAGCGGAAATGGAGAAAAAGAAAGGGTTTGGGGGGTTCATTTTCACCTGCGAGGTCCCAAGGCTCGCTCTTGTAGACATCAACCTCGGTTATGGCGTTGAATCGGAAAGGCTTTCCACAGACCTTCCTCTTCAAATAGTAAATGACGAGCTCTTCGTCGGTCGGGTGGAACCTGAAGCCCGGCGCTAAAGCCGTCGGCGTTGTCGTCGTCGTCGTTTGAACTTTCGTCATCGTCGTTTGAGGCGGAGATGGCACCGACAGAGCAAGCAAGGTCGGCGGCGCCATGGAAGGGTGAGCTGGGGAAGACGATTCGCGGCCCATCGGAGGAAGAGAACGGCTGGGATTCGTCGAGCTCGGAAACCGATGAAGGTTAGGGTTTTTTCGGAAGGAGGGAAATTGGTGCAGAGGAAAGAGATAGGGTTTGATTGGGGATGAAGAAACCCCAGGGGTACCTTCAATCGCAAGAAAGAAAAAACTCTTACTAACAAATTAAAACGGGAAAAAACAACAACAACAATAACAAATCTCAAATGCCCTTTTCCGATTTTTTTTCTCTGTTTCTAGAATTAGTTTTGGATTAGATATTACGGAAAACGACAGTGTTAGAGAAAATCTAGTTGTAATGCCTTGTTTGGGCAACGGGAAAGGAGTAGGAAAATTTTGGGACTCCACAAAATGAAAGAAAAAAAGGTTACCTTTTAGTTCGTTAATTTATATTTTTTATTCGAGTTAAAATGTAATTTTATGTGAAAAATTTGTAATGTAATAAAAAAATTAAATATAATTATTTTTAAAAAAATTTTATTATAATAAATTTTAAATTTAAATCGATAAAATGAACGGAATTAAAATAATTTTATTTTATTATTAAAGATTTTTTTTATAATTTTTGTAAAATTAGACTGTTAATAATTTTTTATTTTTAATTATTAAATTTATGTTAAAATTTATAAATATTATATATTCTTTTAATAAAACGTAATTTTTATAAAATTTAAGGGTTAAAAATACAGAGCATTAAAGAAAATCCTTTTATTATTTTGTTTATAGTAAGGATAATCTTTCGTCTTTGGCAGAAAAAAAGGGTCAAAATTTTGAATGCCACGCTGGACGGCCACGTGGAAAATGAGGACCGCTTTTGTAACAGTAATGTCAGCAAGAGCATGCTATGACTTGATAGTATTTTGCCAGGTTGAGTCAGTGATTTTAGTGGCGTGCCAAAATTTAAGTGTTAATTACAGAAAAGTGATTCCTTTGAAAAGGCAAAAAACAAATTACTGAAAATGAGTATCATTAATAGGTAAAAAGGGAAATAAATGCTACCATAAAAAAGGTAAAAATATGTACTGCCCATTTTTCTCTGGAGGAAAAAAGGAAAAATAGCAATATATGATGTCAGGAAATTGTTTTTCTATTTTCTTCTTTGGTGAGATTTTCTCAAGAAGATATATTATTAAGATCAATTCCAATTTTGAGCAAGAGTAACGAAAAAAACTTGATTTTTTTAAAGGTGAAATTGCATTTCATTAATCATTACACTATTCATGCAATTAAAAAATTCATTTATGTATACTATATATTTAAATTAAAATATATAAACTTTGTTTGAATTTAACACTTCCTTATCGTCTTGATTTTTCCTTCTTGCTAAAAATGAAAACGAAGAGGAAAAAAAACTAGGCAGTGGGGGAAAAGTGTAAACAGGCAAAAAGGAATCTGGCTTAGTTAATGACGGCCAAAGAGATTAATTAGAATAAACAACACGTATTCTTAAGATTTTTACTTTTTTAGGGGATTTTAACTTTGAAAATCGGGAACTAATACTTAATGCAAATAACAAATAAATTTTTACTTTTTACGGTAAACAAGTAAAATTTGTGGCAACGGGAAGTGTACTAACAAGGAGTAAACGACACGTTACTTATTCACATGCTTCGCCCACAAGGCAAGTAAAGTTTTTTAGTGGGACCCGCGGGGCTCTATAAGAGGCCAGGTTGAGGCTTTGAGGCTTGAGCCACCGGTTTGTCTTTTATTTTCTTTTTAAATTTTAATTGTTTTGTCTTTTTATGTTCCTCAGTAAAAGAGTCCTTTTTGTTTTAAAAAAATTAAAAAATAATAATAAAAGAGCCCTTTCTAAAAAAAAAATAAATAAATAAATGTGGGATTAAGGCGATTGAGGATGGTGATCAGTTACAAAATATTGACCCACCAAGAGCAGCTTCTCAGCTTTTCAGAAAGATAATCAAACTTCCTCTGATTCTTTTCTTTATTCATTAGATTCTTTTCCAGATAGAAAAATCCTTTATATATTAATTATAAAAAAAAAACCCTTTGTATATTTCTTTGGGCAAAAAGGAAAATCTATCTTATATTTGGGTTTGCGTCGCGTACACACATATTTTTCGTTTTTTTTTTTTAAATTAGTCTATGTAAAATTACTCATGTCTCTTATTCTTTATTTTAATTAAATTTTAATTATTTTTATATTTTTAAATTTAAAATATGAATTACTTTTTTAAAAACTTTACTTTAAATCAAATTAAAAAATAAAAATAACAAAAGAACTAAATGAATAATCCATATTAACTACATTCGGTTCGTCTCAAATGTATTTTTTAAAATAACTAAACATTTTACAGTACAGAAAAACTAAAGAAAAAAAACAAATCTTTAATTATTTTAACTAAAGATATAAAATAGCTAACCCTATTCGAGATGCTCTCATATATAACTTTAACAACATTCATTTGTGTCAAATTGTTGATCGTTAATAATCAAGAAAAACAAAAGCAAAATTTTTTTCCCATAAAGTTAAAAGGGTATTTGGACAGGAGGGCACACAATTTTGACCGTATATCTGATAGAATTAAAAAAAATGAACCATTATACATAATTCTTTTTTTAGCCATTAGATATGTATTAAAATTTATTTGTTTTGAATATTTTTCATGCTGATATGATTTTAATTGGATTCAACAATATGTATTAAAAACTATTTGTTTTGAATATTTTTCATGCTGATATGATTTTAATTGGATTCAACTGTCAAAAGTAAGCCCTATCAGATAAATTCTCAATTTCCTACTCTTTTAGTAAAACAATTAGTTTTTTTTTTCTTTGGCTCAAATTCAATAAAACAATTACACAAAGTAGCATTAATCCTATAATTCATCGTGAAATTTTTTATGTGTCACTTTAGTTTTAAAATAGATAGTTTAATAACAAAGGTGTTAAAATTGCGTATAGAAGAAAAATAATAGATGGATCTTCAAAAGTGAGTGTCAAGATTAAAATGAGACAAATACGTTTGCATTTATATCATAATTTTGGATTAAAAAATTTTGGTTCAAACATTTTTTACTGTAATATTTTTCTTGTAAAAATTTAAATAAATATGAATTTATATTCAAACTTTCTGTTCAAACATATAAACTTAATGAATTATTGGTGGAAAAAACTCGCTTGGCAGAAATTGTTTTTTTTTTTTTTTAAGCCATTCAAACAATGTCATCCCTTTGTATAAACTTGAGAATGTCATCCATTTGTATAAAGTTGAGAAATGTAATATTCAATTCACTTGAAAATATCTTATATATTTATATTCAGTGGCATAGATGTAAGGCTTTAAAATTTTAGTGAGATGCATGTAATTTCCTCTTCGGGATTTTATTGTTGAAACAAGACTATATCCTCTAGTACATAAAACCATTATCTTTAAGAAAAATATAATTTAGTTCATTAGAAAATGAATTTCTAGCCAAAAGACAAAAGTGATACGAAATACTATCCAAAATACTTTTCATGTTTTGTTAAACTACCACTTTTACCATTCTTATCATGTAAATACTCAAAACATCATCTGTATTTATAGAAACAAACCCAAAATACTCATGAAACAATTAATTTTTTTAAAATACTAAGATTACTCTTCTCAATATTTATTAAATACAATTCAAAATATTATTTAACTAAAAAATCTTAAAATATGAAGAACTCTCAAAATAATTGAAATATTTCTTTGATTGAAATAATTACTTTATTTTTAATTTTTTTTAATTTGACTTTATCGTTTGATCATATTGAAAATAATATTTAATATTAATTTGAAAGGATAATTATGTTTTGGGTTTGTTTTTATAAACACATTGAATAAAATAGGTGAGAGATGTTAGTTTAACAAAATATGAGGGGTGTTTTGGGTATTTAGTAACAAACAAAGTGTAAGTCACTGTAATACGGGTGTAGGTCAGAAGTCAGAGTGATGGTCAGCGCCACTGCTCCACGAGGTGAAGATCTACGTTCAACGGCCCCACCTAAGCAGCCTTTCTACGTGTCAAGCATTATGCCAGTATGGCAGCCTTCCATGAGTGACACGTGGCTATCTCAATTATAGAATATTATATTTTATTCTTTATTAATTTTTATGTTAACCGGAAATCGGAGAGATTTTAAAATGCCTCTTTCTAGATTTAAATTTTTAATTCGAGTTAAAATGTAATATTTTTTAAAAATTTTTAATTATAATAAAAAAAATTTAATGTGATATTTTTTAAGAGTTTTTAATTATAAACATTTAAAATTAAAAACTCAAATCGGTGAAATGAACGAGGTCAAATGTTCGTTTAGTTCATTAATTTGAGTTTTTAATTCGAGTTAAGATGTGACTTTATGTGAGAGTTTTTAACTGTAACAGAAAAAGTTAAGGGGTTGTTCTTTTACATTTTTTGAGTTAAGGTGATTTTAGTGATGATCTTGAGTTGAGTTTGAGTTATAACTTGAGTTGAAGTTGTAACTTGAGTTTGTGTTTGGATGTGCACATTTGAATTGTGATTTAAATTGAGAATCTTTTTAAGTTTTTGTTTGGGTGGATAAAAATTTAAATTTGTATTTAGATAGTATTTTAATAAAAATTTAATGGTGATAAAATTTTTTAATAGAGTATATGAGTGGGTTTTATTCATTTTTTCGTTGTGAATGCATAGAAAAAAATTATCTCAATAGAATTAAAATGAAAAAGTTATGATATTTTTAAAAATAGAAAAAATATTATTTATTAACTTAAGTTCGAGTTTATGAAGTCGAGTTGAAAGAAAAATTTAAACTCAAATTTAATTTCAAGTTTAAACTCAAATTTAAAAAAAAAACATAAATTTAAATAAAATTTTAACTTAAATTTAAATTTTTTTTATATTTTATTAAAAAAATAATTATTTAATGTGATTTATTATAAAATCTTTTAACTGTAGCCGGACGAAACAAAAAGCAACTGGGGAAGATAAAACGATGTGCGCATCTATCTGACCATTGGTCCAACTTTTGTCAGATAAATCATAGCGACAATGGCAGGGCCCTCTTTTCCACGTGTGGGATTAAGGTGTTTTTAAATTTTGGGCTTTTCGCTAAAAGTTGTGGGCTTTTGGAACAGTGAGCCCTTATATAACTTGTCGCGACGGGCGAGTTAGAGAAAGGAAAAAGAGAAAAAAGAAAAAAAGAAAAAAGAGGCAAATAACCTTAAAGTATATAGGTGAGGATTGTTATTATTTATTCTATATTGATAATTTTTTTTAGTTAAATAAATACACTAATAAAAAAAATTTAAGTTTATACATTTTTAAAGATAAATTCTTTAATTTCCTTTAAAGAAAAAGGGGGATTATCGCTTAAATAATAAAGTTGAAATGTAACAAGTTTTTTGAAATATTATATAAATAACAATTTAATATCATTAAAATCATTATTATATAACTATGTAATACAAATATGTGATATTATTGTTTACTATTTTTGTTATTTTTATAATATTTTGTAAATTCTATTAAATTTAAATGTAACGTATGAAATTTTATCAATGGAGTGTAATTAACCCCTTATTAGAAATGTCTATTTTTCCTTTTCAAAAATAAGAAAAGAAGAAATGCTCTCTTTCTAATTTGCTTTTTAATTCTCTTGTTGTATAAACGGGAAACAAACTCATATTTTTGTTGTATGAAAGATTTTTTTAAAACCATGTGTAAAAAAAAAATGATAAGAATATATAGCTAGACTTTTTAATTCCATACCTAATTTACACTACAACTTTTACTTTAAAACAAAAAACAAAAAAAATTTACACTACAACTTGATAGATAGAAGATTTATACTACTAAAAAAATTTTATTTTTAATCGTTATATTTAATATAAAAAACTATTTATTCTCCGTGTTTCACGATGTATTGATAAGGAAATTCTGTTAGAAAAATTCTATAAAGAAAGAAAAAAACACAAAATGGATAAACAGAGATATATAAATATATATATATATATATATATATATTGCTAAACAGAGAGATAAATTGACCTAGAGAGAGAAACAACACGATAGTTGTACGAATTTCATGGGGAAAGGGGGGTCAAAAGGAGAAGAGGTAGGTGACAAGGTGCAGTTGCGTGCAACTGCATGGTGTACGCTGAAAACTATTTATTTTCCGTGTTTCACGATCTCTATTTTATTTGGTTCGTGAATTCATACTATAATTTAAATTATAATTCGTAATTTGTTATAATATATTTTTTATAAAAAATATATATAAATTAAAAATAATTTTAAATTTAAAAACTAAACGTATATTTAATAAAAAAATTCTGTTAAAAAAATTCTAAAAAAAAAGAAAAAACACGGAACGGATAAACAGAGATATATATATATTGCTAAACAGAGAGATAAATTGACCTAGAGAGAGGAAAAAACATGATAAGTTGTACGGATTTCACGGGGAAAGGGGTGTCAAAAGGAGAAGAGGTAGGTGGCATGGTGCAGTTGCGTGCAAGTGCATGGTGTACACTTGTTCAGCAGTGGCATGCTTGGGATTTCAGAATCAAAATAATACTTGCCCACGGCAGCAGCTCTTTACTCTTCATATTTTATTGAAGGCTCATTGACCTTGCAAGCGCGTACTTTACACTTTCATTTTACTATTTTTCATTTAATTGAAAATACAAAATGGTTGGTTTCATTTTTGATTCCCACTCTTAAAAATGAATTTTGTTTCCATTTTTAATATTTAAGGTCATTTTATTTTACCGATTTAAATTTAGAATTCAAGTTTTATTATAGTAAAAAGCTCTCAGAAACAATCACATCTATTTTTTTTTTACAATAAAAAATTATCACATAAAATTACATCTCAACGCAAATTAAAAACTCAAATCAGCGAATTAAACGGGCTTTAAAATATTTTACAAATACACTCATTTTGATAAGAAAGAACGAAAAGAGAAAGAGAAAAAAAAACACATAAAAAATGTGAATGAAAGAAAAAAGTTAATTTTCGTTTATGTTGTTTAATATGACAGCATGAAAGAAAATATATAACAAACTAAGTGACTATTTTACTAATTATTTAATATTAATTTAGCTTTAAAATAGGGATAAAAAAATTATTTAGTCATCAATAGATGGCTTTAAGTTTTCTACCTAAGATCAAAATTAGTGAACCCTATTATAACGATTTTATTCACTCTATTTTCTTTTTCTTGTTCTCTTCTATCTTACCGAATAACACATTTATTTTTGAGTCCATTAAAATTTCTCTGTCAAGAATTAATTAAAATTAATAAAAAATAACTGGCAATTGCGTGATACTTTAGCATGGACATTTAAAATAGAATCACGTAATTATCACTTGTTATCAAATTGTTAATAGAGTATACTTAAATCTCATCAATCATTTCACTTTCTTTTTTTAAAGTGGGAATTATATTTAAACACTAATACGAAAGACAACGTGACACACAAGATAAAAAAACTCTCAATTTGTTTTTTTTAATAAGCTGAGAAAAAAAAATAACTGATATCAAAATGATTAACATATCTCAAATAGGTTGGTACCCATTAACCAAATTCTTATATACTAAATTTTGAACTCGAATTTATTAATTAAAAAGAAAAAAAATACAAGAAAGGTTAGGAAAAAACTAAAAAGAAAAAGAATGACACCCGAGAACTAATTGGGAAAAGAAAAATCAAAAGAACTACATCCTTATAGTAAAAAACTAAAAAGCTAGAAACTTTATTCGTAAGTTTGAGCCAAAATTCACACGGGATTAAGAAAATGGTAAGTTGTGTAGTCCCACATCAGTTGAGAATTGAGATATCCTAATTTATAAAGAAAAACACTACCTCTCAATAATATGAGGCTTTTTAGGGTGAAGTTCAAAAATAAAATCGTACTGGCTAAGGTCTAAAAAAAATAATATCATATTAAATAAAAGTGTGAGTAGTTACATATAATATCAGAGTCTCTACCCAGTGTGGCTAACGTGGATCCTATACAAGTATAAAGTCAAAAAAGAATAAATTGTGTAGTCCTCTATTGGAACCAAAACATTGTGACAGATCATAAACCAGATTTGAACTCTAACAACACGGAAAGAGCCAGCGAAAACAATCAAACCTACGCCATCAAAGAGGGAGGGAGATGCAGATCCTTTTAATATTTATGTGGAAGGATTTCTTTCATCTCATTTCTAAGTTCATCAATATCTTCATTGATAAATGTGTATAAAAATTAGAGGTCGAAGGATTTCTCTACGTTTCATTCGTTTAGGTACACGCTCATCATAAATGAAAATGATTTGTCTTTGGGATTGGCGTGTTTGGAAGAGATCTCTCTAGAACTATTAATTAATTTTGAGACATCATAATTGAGAAAAGTAATAAATCCCAGTGGCCACCTTGGTGGTGTGTTAATGGCTAGCCATGGTACTTATGAAGAATGTTTGAATGATATATTAGTTGCTATTAATTACTGTCTCTAAGGTTGTTTCCTCTACTTTTTTCCTTTTGAGGTGAATAGTAGAACGTTCTAAACAAGTAAAAACCTAAACTAGCTTTAGAAATTTGAAAACAGTGAAACATTTTTGGGTCCATATTTTCTGTAAAAAGTTCCAGATTTGCTATTAGAAGTGAAGCAATCAAAAGAGAGAAACAGACAATATTGTCTTGCTGGATTACAATCTATTTCCTTAAACCTGGTTTCTTTTTTCCCTTTTGGCCAATATTAATATTATTATGAGTTTGTTTGGAAAAAATAGCTGTTGGGTTAATTCTGGAAAGACCATTTTCCTTTATAAGTTGTTTCCGCTCTCCATGCAGTTAAATGTCAAATTACTTTACACGACCTCGTACATAATGTTTAGGCGTTATGTCAATGTCCTATAGATCGAATATACCAAGTTATTGAAAAATATTTGGACATCTAACATTTACACAAAAAATATATTGCCGATCATAGACAAGTTTACACTCAAAACTGTTTTTTTCCTTAATAATTCTTTTTAATTTCCTCAATATTATTTTTTGCGCGAGTTATGTCCATCTTTTCTATATACCCTTTTAATAACCGAACAAATTATAAGATTACTTATTTATGTGGGTAAACTTAATGTATAGTAAAATCTAAACTTTTTTTTAATTATGTCCTTTGAATCGTGACCTTTTTATTAGAGTACTCTCTCATAAAACTAGAAAAACAATTATTTTTTAATTTAATTATTTTGTTGTATTTTGCTTTATTTGATCTTGTAGAGACGAGGCATTCAAGGATTTTGATTCAAAAGATGACAAAAACAATTAAATTAATAAATGCCAAGCACCGGCGCACAAACGCCTGCAAAAGCGCGTGGGCCTAACAACAACGACAATCGGGTATGCAAACGTTGATAAAATCGGAAAATAAATATTGTAGGACAGAACACTAGACATTTGTCCAAATATTTCGCCATATATACTATTTTATTTATTTATTATTAATTATTTCAAATAAATGATTTTCCAATTTTCTCTTTTATTCATTACTAAAAGTAAAATCAATCCAATTCTGTCTCTTTCATACGTACCCACTACCCATATCCTACCAGCCAAGCCCCACCACCACAGTTTGTTGTAATTCTAGTATTGTACCTCTCTCAGGAAATTTCTCTTTTTAGTGTGTTTTTTTTTTTTTTTGCTTTCTTTCTTATTCTCTTTGTTCTTCTTGTTAAGAAGATTTTTTTTCTTTTCCTTTTTTTTTTAGAAGTTTTTATGTGAGAGAAAACTAGAACAGAAGAGAACCCACCACCTTTGCATGTATCTTACATGAACAAAGGAAATTAAAGACTGGTCAAGAGAGAGAAGAAAATTAAAGCTGAAATAATATATGGGTTCGTCAACAAAATTGGTTGGGAATAACAATAACTATGATTACTCTTTTAAGATACTTTTGATTGGTGATTCTGGTGTTGGCAAGAGCAGTATTCTTCTTAGTTTCATCTCCAATTCTCTTCATCATGACCTTTCTCCAACTATTGGTACCCTTTCTTTTCCTTCTTATTTTCCATTTCATATACATATATGTGTGTATTACTCCTGTAAATATTATATATGATGTTTGTTTCCTTAAGCATGAGGAAACCATGTTCCATGTTTCTTATATATATATATATATATATATATATTGGGATGAAAGAAGTATATGCATGGATGCTTGATTAGTGTTTGATATATAATTTGTTCTCAGTTCTGTTCTGTTCTGTTTCTTCTTCTTGGGTTCAGTTTGTTGAAAATTGGGTAAACAATTTTGAGTTTTGTAACTGGGATTGAACCAGGAAACAAAGGTATGAGGAAGAGAGAATTTTGAATTTTGGCATTAGTATTAGTAATTTAATGCTGTAATTACAATTGTTGTCATTAAAGAAAAAAAAAAAAAAAAGGATTACCAAAGGGGTGTACTTTTATGGGATTCTGGAGATATATGCAGCATCTTAGGATTCAGGTGTAAGAGATGCCTCAGAAAGAAGTTCCGTGTTTTTTTTTTTTTTAATTTAATCATTGTTAGTTTGACTAAATTCGTGTGTGAGAAGCTTATGTAAAGTCTTTTGAGTGAATATTGCTTCATTAAGCCATAGAAGTGCAGGATTCTAGTAAGGTGATTTGGTTTAGTGATAAATTGCAATATATTGTTGGACCATGCTAAGCTTTTAACTGGAAATCTACTTTCCTAATTAATGTTTGAATCATTTTGAAACTACACTGTAGTTCCTACATTTGACTTTGATCTGATTTGTTTTATATAAGCAGCAATCTGAATTGACCTTCAATTTCTTGACTCTCTTACCATGAAAACCGGGGCAATTTCTCAACTATGAACCTATCTTTTTGGGCCAATTTTTTTTTCACTTTTGCTTTTCCCCATCAAGAATACATTTTTGTCTGTTTTATACTTGAATATTAAGTAAGGAGGAACCATATCTAAAGTTGCAGATTTTTTTTTCTTTTCCACTCGGAATTGATTTCCTTAGTGCTGAAATTCCATGGCAATACTCAGGTGTTGATTTTAAGATGAAGCTGTTATCGGTAGGCGGGAAAATATTGAAGCTTACAATATGGGACACCGGTGAGTAATTGATATCGAAATCTGCTTTGAAAATGTCTACTTGTGGATGTTCGAGGATTGCCCCTGCATTTTTTTCCATTCCATGTTTGCTTATGCACTCATCCAATCTTATTGCTACTACACTTTGGAACCGAGAAGCGATAGCCTAACAAACTTTGTTATATCTATGTGTTCGGATAATCTATAATTCTGGCATCATATGCTAATCCTAACACTTTCAGTTGTAACTACTGTTACTTATCTTGTTGGACTTTTAACTTTTAATGTTGTTTTTTCTTTTCTAAGTTTAACACTTATGTTATATTTGCAGCGGGACAGGAAAGGTTCGGCACAGTAATAAGCTCTTATTACAGAGGTGCACACGGAATCATTCTTGGTATGTAATATTTCATTCTTTGGTATACTTGTTGTGGTCTTTTATTCTTGAATTGGTTATCAGTTTATTGTTCATTTGGAAAAGTGATGATCTAAATGTCCGCAAGGAAGTTTAGCACTTTGACGATTTTCGTTTCTTGTTAGACAGTTTCGTGTTGTAAAATATTGAACCATCTACGGCCAACATAAGCTTAAGAGACCTCATAAACTATTGAACCCTAGTAGTAATGTCAAATCATGTACTGTTGGTTTATACAAATGCCAACTTTGTGAGGTCAATTTTCATCGTCTAGCATATCTTCGTTTCTTCTTGTAAGTTAAGTTTTATCACGTTCCCCTGCATTGAGAAACCCTTTTCCGAAGAAATGTATTATGTCATTCTTTTTCTCTACCTTTGTTCATGGTGTCCTATACCTAAATTCTAATGTTGGTCCTCCTTTTTGTCCGCTTAGAACTTATTCTATATCTGATCGCGCCTTATGATGCTTTTTCTATCAATATAAATGAAGTAGGGGTAGATAAATTCTGGTATGTGTTTCTCGGTTGTAGTTTATGACGTTACACGGCGAGAAACCTTCACAAACTTATTGAATATATGGGCAAAAGAGGTGGAGCTCTACTCAAGTAACCCAGAATGTATCAAAATCCTAGTTGGAAACAAAGTTGACAAGGTAAACTGTTGGTTTTCTTGTTTTTTCTTCTGTTGAGACATAAATAAGATATGCAAAAAACTGACATTGAAGCTCATTAGTACATCTAATATCTTATTTTCATTATATATATGTATATATTTATATACGCATATATTTTTGGCAATAATGGAAGTATTATTAGTTCAGGTGCACTGCAAAGTAGTTGTATGCTTAGTTTTTCTTTAATCTCTGTATTACCCTGTGAGATTTTTATGTGCTTTTATAAAAGGCAGCGTGCATTTTTTTTTTTTTTTTTTCCAGGATAAGGATAGGGCAGTAACTAGAGATGAGGGGATTGCTCTTGCACAAGAGCACAAGTGTTTGTTTCTTGAATGTAGTGCTAAAACAAGGGAGAATGTTCAACAATGCTTTAAAGATCTCGTGCTAAAGGTACGCGTTTCCTGTTAGAGCATTTATCTTTTTCTTACTGAATTGTCCTCTTGTGTCTGCAAAATGTACAGTTGTTTGTTCAACCTATCTTCACCTTGATAATGTCAAAACAAACTTGTTAGAAATTGCCATCCCAACCTAGGAATTCATTGAGAAATGATGCTCAAACATTAAGACTTAAATATTCAAATCAACTATCAGTATGGTCATGAAAGTTGTACGATTTGGCTTCCTAAAAATTCTTTAAGACCTTGTTAAAAACTTCCAGATTTATCTGTTTATGGTACATCGGAAGACATTATTTAGGAACTTCTTGACGTCTTGGTTAATTTGATCTTATCAGTACATCTCATCATTCATGCATTTTGATCGAAGCCACCATTTCATTAATATGATTAGATTATGAGTCAACATTTCATACTTGGTGGAGAATCAGATATGTTTGGTAAGAGGGAAAGGAAATAGGAAGGAAAGAAAGGCATGTAACTTGGCGAGGAAAATAGAGAGGAAGGAACTTCTTTTACTGTGTTTAGTACAGATTCCCTCATCTAATAATTATTCCATATTTGGAGAGAGTAAAATTGGTATTGTTTGAAGAATTTGAAATTCCTCTCCTAATCCATTCCATCCTCTTATCTCTCCTACCAAACAACGATGGATCCAAAATCCTTCCACTAATCCCCTCACCCATCTCCCTCCTTCCAGTTTTCCCTCCTGCCAAACAAACAAGACCATGATTGTGAAGCACAATTTTAGCAGTTGATAGGAAATGAAATTTTCCTTATAAGCAAGGTTTTATAGCATCCAAGTTCCAACACATATAGAAGAAAAAAGATAGCACCATTCAAGCTATTAAGCCAGTTCCACTTTAATACATCATTGATTCAACTCTTTCACTCTCTCATCCAGTCTGATTTTCAAAGACTCTGTACTGACCGCCGCGAATTCATCGCTTGCATTTTACTAAGTTTGAGTTCGTTTACAGATACTGGAAGTACCAAGTTTGCTGGAAAATGGATCTTCAGTAGTGAAGAGACAAGCAATGAAGCAGAAACAAGAATACCAATCACCTCGTGGCGGCCGTTGCTGCCTTCACTAAAAAGCGAAAGCGAAAGGCCTAAAAAAATGGCAAAAAGTGGCAATTGGGTGTTTTATTCTTCGCAGTGAATTAGTCTAGATGGCCATGTTCTTCAAAAGCTTTTTGGAGCAGTTGTCATTATTTCCATTACAGTTTTGGTGCATTTTGGGTCAATACATTTGTTAAGCTTGTACATATATGTTTCTTTAGTCAAATTTTATCTCTGTAGAGAGTCTGGTTTGTTATATTGGTTATTATGGACATTTGGGAGAGTACACAGAATTCATGGGGGTGAATAAAACCAACACAACAATGTTTTTGCATCCACAAATTTTTGTAATTTGTTACACAGATGTACAGTCAGCAATATTTGTATTTCTTTCAAAGTAGAGCTTCACAACTGTATAGTGTTCTGACTTTGGGTCTTAGCCTGATTCATATAGCGTATTTATTATGTGGTTCATTTATATTTGATTAAAATCACCTATAATATTTCTTATTATTTATTTAGTGTTAATGTTCTTACATGTGTTTAAAACTGCAATTTCTTCTGCAATATATGACACATCTTTTATGAATACTATTTGGAGAATTCACGAATGTTTAAAAATTTATTAATAATTAAAACACTAATTGTTGGGGGAAAACACTCATATACACCCACGCAACATAAATAAACTGAAACAAAAATAACAAAAAAATAGAGGATAAAGATTTAGGTGGTTCGAAAAAAAAAATTTATGTTTACTAGAGATGGAGAAAAATTTACTAACAGTTTTTGAATTATATATTCATACAATTTTCTCACTTTATCTCTCTACTAAAAATCTCTTACACCCTTACGTATCTCTCTCTCTCAAAAAGAGACTTTTTCTCTGCACTTTTCTTTGAACACATTTAAAATTTTACACAAAATATTTATTTATAAATTCTTAATAAACCATAAAATAACCTTTGCGTGAAAACCGTAACTCACCTAAAAAGACACAAAATATTAACTTTCTCAAAATTAATTTAAAATAATTACTTAACACCACCTAAAAAGATACAAAATATTAACTTTCTCAAAACTAATTTAAGATAATTACTTAACACCAGTTTCTACCAGTAGGATAAAATAACAACCTTACCGTAGGAGTTCCTTCTTTTCAAGCTTTACTACAGAATTCTCCTTCATATGGTTAAAAAGATGCTGAGAGGTACGAGATTTGCCCTATTGCCTCGAAAAATGAAAATGAAACCCTATTTTTACGCTCAAATTCATTGCAGTCCTCCCTTCTCTCCATTTGTCTTACTATTGTGAAACCAACCATTTGTTACAAAGCATATCATAAAATTTTTCTTCGCAATTTAGTAGTCAGTGGACAAATATATCTTCCAATTAGGTTATCAGAAGATCACGACATGTCCCAAAAAGACAAAAAAAAAACAGCTTGCAAGAGTCAAATATTAGGCCTCATTAATTCAGTTGGTGGATTATAACAATGAGGCCACAAGTATATTCTTATTTATTGAATTATCATCATCATTTGCCGGCAATGCTTTCTTAGCATTGCAGGAATTGCCCTTTGAATGACTTGGTAAATCTAGTTTTTAGTTAGCACTATATTTTAAATATTTCCTCACATTCTTAGGAAGTTTCACCCAACAAGTTGGCCACTCTTATTATATACATATATATATATATATATGCATATATAAATGAGCTTGCTTCGTGTTTATGATATTTTCTTTGTGAGAAAGAAGAGTGATAAACCTCCTTAAGCCCTCCAAAATGGCATCTACTGAGTGCCACTTAATTGCAATATTTGCAGCATTGTTAGCTTCGCTTGTTGCAAGAGCTAGTGCTATTGACATATTTCTAGAATGGAATGTTGCCCTTGATAATACTACTAGACCTGTCTCAGTAGATCAACCTGTATGACCCTCTCATTTCATATATATGATCATGTTTTATTAATCTCTCTCTATGTTATGGTGCGACATTATATTATTATTTTTTTTTTCTTTCAAAAAACAGGTTATTACCATCAATGGAATGTTCCCGGGGCCACTTATCAAGGCCACCACCAATGATTTCATCCACGTGAACGTCTTCAACAATATGGATGAGCCACTCCTCTTTACTTGGTATGTAAGAATGCCTAAAAACTTTGGTCTCCCAACAAATAAAAACATCATTTCCTACAATCATTGATTGGGGTCAAATCCTTCTATTCATCTTTAGAAGTGATACACACACACACATATATATATATATATTCAATATATATATATGGGTGTGGTTCGTCTATATATACACACATATAAAATTAAAATTTAGGTCCTATTTATTTCACCGATTCGAGTTTAGAATTCGAGCTTTATTATAGTAAAAAGTTCTCAGAAACAGTCAAATCTTTTTTTTTTTTTTGCTACAGTAAAAAGTTCTCACATAAAATCACATCTCAACTCAAATTAAAAAATCGAATCAGTGAATTAAACAGACCCTTAGGGTGCGTTTGGAATTGGTTCCAAAATGATTTTGTTTTCTGTATGAAAATGAAAATGAAAACGTTTTCATTTTCATTTTAGAATTATTTCTGAAAATACGTTTGGTAGTTTTATTCAGAGATTAATTTCAGTTTTAAAAAAAAACTGAAACTGCGTTTGGTGGTTTAATTTTTAAAAACTCATGTAACAGCTTCAACTCAAATTATAACTCAAATTCAACTCAATATCTACACTTAAGTCACCATAACTAAAAAATGCAACCGAACAAGCCTGAAAAATATTTGAATTGAAATGTTAGAATTTTTTGTCAAACATATTTTTTTGACACTAATTTAACGTAACTATCATTAAAATGGTGCATATTATAATAGTTTTATAAGTTGAGAGAAAAACCTACTAAAATTAAAAATTATGAGAGTAAATTACTAAAATTATACAAGTTTAATGGGCGAATGTGTGAAATATCCATTTTCTTTGGAACCCCCTTCTTCTACCCATTGAAAATTCCGTGGTCGCCACCTCATCATACCAAAACCGTCCTACAAGATCACCACCATGTCGACATGAGCAAAGCAATCTTCCTCTCAATTCCTTCCTATCCATCCTTGCCTACCTAAACGACGCGTTTAACTTTCCTCGCAAGTTTCGGGATCGGAGATTTAGATATAGAGAGAGAAAGTGAGAAACGCACACACACACACACATATTTATAGAGAGAGAATCGCCGGGAAATCTAACCGGAGCGACGGAGTCCTGGCATTCACCGCCGGAGGAAGACGATGAAGATCAACGTCAACTCCATAGCTTGCAAAGTCGAGGTCAACAATCAGATTCCTCTCCGCTACTACTATTGGATCGCCAACAATCTCCTCAAACAGGTGATTCTATTTCTCTCCATCTGAAATTCACCGTTGAAATCCTCGGTTTTCACTGCTGTATCGAGTTTCGCTTTCATTTTTCTCCAATTATTGTTAGAAGTCTGTAAATTCTATTTTCAAGGTTTGAGCTTTGCTGCTTCTCTTGTGCTTGCTCAAGAAAAAACAATTTTTGGTGGTCAAGGGCAGAAAAAATTTCAGAAAAGAGAGAAAATGAAAATGAAGAAAACGAATCGGGTGAGAAGAGAACGGAGGAGCTCGGCGAAGCAAATGGCGCAGGTCAACAACTCTGGAATCTGGGCTGAAGAAGGGCAGGAAAAAAATGAAAACGGGTCTCTGGTCTCGGCTGAAGAGAGAAAAGGAAAACGGAGAAGGAAATGAAAACATGAATTTTGCGTTTTCAGATTTTCACAAAAGGACAAAAACGTTTTTGTTTTCAGTTCTTAGAAAATTTTGCACCAAACGTGTTTTCGGCGTGCGTTTTTATTTTTTATCCTTTCAAAAATGTGAAAAACGGAAACAGAAACAGAAACAAACAGGGTTAGTATCCTCGGTGAAATCACCAACCAGAGCTTTGCATCGCTTGTGGAGCCCACACGGGTCCAACAATAGTATGTGAAGGAACAGTATTAGGGCGCACGGCTGGAGGAGTCTCCGTCAACAACGCGCACTAATTCACAGGATGAGCCTAAAAAATAGGACAACTTCTATTAGTTATGATATTGGACGCCATTGGTGCTGCAAAACATTTGTTTCTTTTTAAATAATTCATGGTCCGACATAGGAAAGGTGTTCCTTAGCACTCTACTCACGCATAACATGTTTTCAGTATTGCTTATTGTTTTGTTTAACAAAGAACTAGTATCTATCTTGGGAGGTAGAACCATTAAATTGTGAATAAACCATTAGATCTTCATTTGCAATTTAGCAATAAATGTACCTATTTAGGCCCTACATGGTCCAAGTAATCACATGTGGACATGTTTTGATCTGGTACATGTATAAATGTTAATTTTGAGACTTACGAATTATAACTATATAGTAAACTCGCGCAAACTTTGCATGTAATGCTTGACAATTTTCTCTCATTTAAGACTTTAAGAGTGAATTGTTGATGATTTTTCAGGAATGGGATCCAACAAAGGCTAAATTCATGGCAAGATGGAGTCTCAGGCACAAACTGCCCAATCAAGCCGGGCACAAACTGGACATACGTGTTCCAGACCAAGGATCAGATAGGCACTTTCTTCTACTTCCCTTCAATCAACTTCCAAAAAGCCGCCGGAGGGTTCGGGCCAATTCGTGTCAACAACCGCGATGTCATCGCCGTCCCTTTCCCTAAACCCGAAGCTGAATTCGATCTCCTTACCGGGGATTGGAACTACGACAGCTACAAGGTCTTTTACTTATAAAAAATAAAAAATAAAAAACTTGTCAGCATTGATGAATTTTGACCATTTTGCTTTAAACTTCATTTTGGGCTGACTTATTAGAATTGGAACAGTGGGACCGGGTGGCGGTGCAACAGGTGCCAACGGGTTACCGTGTTCTTCCCGACGCTATTTTGATGAATGGCAAAGGCGCTTATGGGAACCAAATGGCAAGGGCTTATGAAAGTTTCACTGTTACACAAGGTATATATGCCCTTGTAAAAATAAAAGTAGAGCAATATATCAAAGAGATTTGGCTAGGCATTAGATTAGATAGTATGGGGGCACAAATTGAGCTAGATTATATTGTTCTTTTCAAAAAAAGACAGTAATTATTATGAGCAATTCCACGCAGCTGATTCCGCAAAGAGATAAATAGTGGCTCTCGAGTCTTAGGCTGCGTTTGGAACAAGAATCCGTGTCATGATTCGAATCACGGTTCGTGGCTCGTTACAGTATTTTCTCTCACAAAAAATACACGAAACCGAGAATAGTGTTGAATCATAGTTCTGAATTTACGAACCAAACGTTCTCGTAATCTTGAAAACCATCTTTGTGGGGCCATTTGTATATTTTGCGGAGCTGGTAACTTTTTTTTTTTTTTTGATTTGTTTCAAAATTAATGGTTCCGGACTCAATGTTGCAATTTCCACAAAATTGGGCAATCTTGTTCATAATCTACATAATGTTACATATCTCTCCTTTTTTTTTTTTTTTAAGGACTCAAGAATGAGCATTTCAAGACTAAATAATGTCTCTAAAAGGCAGGTGAAAACAGTCTACTAAGGAAAATGCACATAATTTTTCAAAATGTGTGTTTTCAAATCAAGTAAATGTCAATTTTATTTAACTAGCAAAAAAAAATTTTTTTAATTTTATTTGTTATTGATAATTGTTTGTGAAACAGGGAAGACTTACGGGTTCAGGATATCAAACGTGGGCACTGAATTCAGCTTGAATTTCAGGATTCAGAACCATCAAATGGTGTTGGTTGAAACAGAAGGATCATACACCAATCAGATCGTGTTGGACTCTCTTGATGTACACGTTGGACAATCCTACTCTGTTCTTGTCACAGCCAATCAAAACCAAGCTGATTACTACATAGTGGCGACTCCCAAATTGGTAGACCTCAACGACACTGATTACAAGGACTTGGTGGGTGTGGGAGTTCTGCATTACTCAAATTCAACCACCCCAGTTAGTGGGCCTCTGCCTGATGGACCTGGCCCATTTGACATTGAGTTCTCAGTAAATCAAGCCAAGTCTATTAGGTACAAACACTTGAAGCTTTCATGCAAATGACATTGACAAAGTAGCTTTTAGTTTGGGAGAAAATTAGGGAATTTGATCTTTTAAGTCACTTTTTCGACTTCATGCCTGCCTTTTAGAATTTTCTCTCTTAATTTTGTGTTTTTGTGATGCAATGCGGATCAAAATTAAACATCATTTATTCCGAATTTAAACCTCACACTATCTTATCTCATGTCGTTTGACTTAATAATCATTGACGTCTCTTTTAAGTTACTAAGATAATATAATAAAGTGAATAAGGAGACAAATCTTATTGGGCATTCCTCTAGATTTTCCTAGTTTTTAAATTTATGCGGTTTCATTCATTTCTTTTTAATTAAAACTAATACAAATCCTTTCAGCTGAAGGACTTAGAATGCGTAAAAGTTTGACTTATTCCATCTTTGAAATTTGCTAGAATTCCGAGGCCTCGTCTCCACATAATGAAGGCGTGAATGTTTAGAATTTAGTATATTGAAGGATTATCTTTACCCTATTATCCAACTCTTTAGACTTTGTTCAGTTCATTTACTTTGCTAAGAAAATTCTCTCGAAGGTAAGAAAAGAACTCTTCATCTTCAAGTGAGGTGAGGAAAAGAAAGCCTTTCATTTTGATCCTCTTCCCCTTTTGTTTTCTGTCTTATTAACTGCAGAATAAACTTGCCTATGCGGGTGGATGTTTGTTCATGTCTCCCTCTTTCACACACAAATAAATGTAGAAATATTTTTGGAGCTTTATTTTCTCCGTAGTTACCTGCACACTAGTCGAAAAAGTGCATAAAAAAGGATCATCCATATTCTTGCGTTTGGTAGTGTTTTTTGGAGTCTAAAATCACTTCTTTAGTCATTAGAAACTGATAACGGTATTTTGTAAAAATCATAAAAAGTGATTTTTAAAAAATTTTTAAAGAATCTACAACCAAAATCAGAAACAGCTCAAAGACAACTTTAGCTTTAAGATTATGCAGGAATCAACATAATACAATTAATAAAATTTTCATAATACCCAAAATACCTTTAGTGAAATCTAAAATTTTCAAAATTTTATTAAACACTAATTGTTTTCTGTGACAACTATTTTTTCTTTTAACACGACTAAAAGTAATATTTTTAAAATCTACAACAATGTAAGTCAAACCAGTTCATTAAAATAAATATTTTGTTATATTGATCTTTGGTATTTACACGAGATCTACAGTTGTTATTTGCTTCACTCGACAATCTTCTTTTCTCACCGTCTTATAAATTAGGTGGAACTTGACAACCGGCGCTGCAAGGCCTAACCCACAAGGAACGTTCAACGTGACAAACGTGACGCTGTCGCAGACCTTCATCCTCCAAGACTCGGGGGCTGAAATCAATGGCTCCATTCGCCGTGGCGTCAACAATGTGTCGTATTACACTCCGGACACGCCCTTGAAGCTGGCTGATTATTTTGTTAACGGCTCAGGCGTGTACCAACTCGATGCATTTCCCACTCATTCTGTCAATGATAATGCTTCCTATGGAATTTCAGTTGTGTCTGGGATCCACAAAGGCTGGCATGAGATTGTCTTCCACAACAAATATTTTGCTTTCATAGATTCTTGGCATTTCGATGGTTTTGGATTCTATGTTGTCGGGTAAGTACTATTCAATATCAAGTATTACCTTTCACTAGTGAAAGAGTGATAATTCGTGTTAGTGGGTCGTGTTCGTGTCAATCCGTTTATTAATCGTGTCAGAAAACATCAACCTAAATACGACTTATTTATTAAACGTGTAAAAAATATTAACCCAAACGCGACCCATTTATAAATCGTGTTAATCGTGTCAACCCATATAACCCATTTAAATTAATGTATTGAATAAATCACTAATATAATAATGACTTATTTAACACTGTCATGACATATCACATATCATTAGATTGTAGATGACACATATAATTAATCGTGTCAATTCGTCACTTCGTGTTAGGAGGTCAATCCTAACCCAACCTATTTATTAATTGTGTCAACCTGATTATGACCCAAATCCATTTATAGTAAACTCAAACTCACTAATTTTGTGCGGATTTCGAGTCGTATTGTCGTATCACTACCTGAATTGTCAACCATAATTATCTATCCACATTTTTTTTTACCAAAGATAGGAGGCAGAAAATTTATTTTCCAGTAGGACACAAGAAAGGTACAGTATTTAGAATTCTCTTTCATAAAAACAAAAATATACATATATAGCTTGACAATAAATTCATATTTTATTGAGATCTAGAGTTTGAATCTCCTAACCAAGTTAAAAACAAAAAGAAGTACATACAGAAAAAAAAATTTAATTTATGAAAGACAAATTAACTTAAAAAATTGCAGTCAGTAAAACGAAAATTCAAAATCTCAAAGGGCACTAGGGCACGTGTCTTCACTAAGATGAATATGACCGCATCACTAGATAGTTGTTACTTTTATCAATGTGACTCACATAATTAATATGGCCACTAATTTTTAACCAATCAAAGATTATTTAAGCGGTAACATGTTACCATAAATGTAAAAATATTTTTGGAGCTTTATTTTCTCCGCAGTTACCTGCACACTAGTCGAAAAAGTGCATAAAAAAGGATCATCCATGTTCTTGCGTTTGGTAGTGCTTTTTAGTCTAAAATCACTTCTTTAGTCATTAGAAACTAATAACGGTATTTTGTAAAAATCATAAAAAGTGATTTTTAAAAATTTTTTAAAGAATCTACAGTCAAAATTAGAAACAGCTCAAAGACAACTTTAACTTTTAGATTATGCAGGAATCAACATAATACAATTAATAAAATTTTCATAATACCCAAAATACCTTTAGTGAAATCTAAAATTTTCAAAATTTTATTAAACACTAATTGTTTTCTGTGACAACTATTTTTTCTTTTAACACGATTAAAAGTAATATTTTTAAAATCTACAACAATGTAAGTCAAACCAGTTCATTAAAATAAATATTTTGTTATATTGATCTTGGTATTTACACGAGATCTACAGTTGTTATTTGCTTCACTCGACAATCTTCTTTTCTCACCGTCTTATAAATTAGGTGGAACTTGACAACCGGCGCTGCAAGGCCTAACCCACAAGGAACGTTCAACGTGACAAACGTGACGCTGTCGCAGACCTTCATCCTCCAAGACTCGGGGGCTGAAATCAATGGCTCCATTCGCCGTGGCGTCAACAATGTGTCGTATTACACTCCGGACACGCCCTTGAAGCTGGCTGATTATTTTGTTAACGGCTCAGGCGTGTACCAACTCGATGCATTTCCCACTCATTCTGTCAATGATAATGCTTCCTATGGAATTTCAGTTGTGTCTGGGATCCACAAAGGCTGGCATGAGATTGTCTTCCACAACAAATATTTTGCTTTCATAGATTCTTGGCATTTCGATGGTTTTGGATTCTATGTTGTCGGGTAAGTACTATTCAATATCAAGTATTACCTTTCACTAGTGAAAGAGTGATAATTCGTGTTAGTGGGTCGTGTTCGTGTCAATCCGTTTATTAATCGTGTCAGAAAACATCAACCTAAATACGACTTATTTATTAAACGTGTAAAAAATATTAACCCAAACGCGACCCATTTATAAATCGTGTTAATCGTGTCAACCCATATAACCCATTTAAATTAATGTATTGAATAAATCACTAATATAATAATGACTTATTTAACACTGTCATGACATATCACATATCATTAGATTGTAGATGACACATATAATTAATCGTGTCAATTCGTCACTTCGTGTTAGGAGGTCAATCCTAACCCAACCCATTTATTAATTGTGTCAACCTGATTATGACCCAAACCCAGTTATAGTAAACTCAAACTCACTAATTTTGTGCGGATTTCGAGCCGTATTGTCGTATCACTACCTGAATTGTCAACCATAATTATCTATCCACATTTTTTTTTTTACCAAAGATAGGAGGCAGAAAATTTATTTTCCAGTAGGACACAAGAAAGGTACAGTATTTAGAATTCTCTTTCATAAAAACAAAAATATACATATATAGCTTGACAATAAATTCATATTTTATTGAGATCTAGAGTTTGAATCTCCTAACCAAGTTAAAAACAAAAAGAAGTACATACAGAAAAAAAAAATTTAATTTATGAAAGATAAATTAAAAAATTGCAGTCAGTAAAACGAAAATTCTAAATCTCAAAGGGCACTAGGGCACGTGTCTTCACTAAGATGAATATGACCGCATCACTAGATAGTTGTTACTTTTATCAATGTGACTCACATAATTAATATGGCCACTAATTTTTAACCAATCAAAGATTATTTAAGCGGTAACATGTTACCTCTCATAGGTAACATATTGTTGACATGAGAACCTACCTATGATTAGTTGAATACCAATGATGATCAACATTTTGGCAAGCTCAATTAAGTAATGATCAGCACCCAATACTTAATTCTCTCTTAATTAATCAATCAATTAATCGATACGTCCAGGTTTGGAAATGGAGACTGGACACCAGAGCAGCGCAGCACTTACAACCTTTACGATCCGGTGGTCCGGTCGACGGTGCAAGTGTACCCGGGAGGATGGACCGCCGTTTACGCATTCCTTGACAACCCTGGAATGTGGAATCTGAGATCACAAGTGTTGAAGCATTGGTATTTAGGTCAAGAACTCTATGTCAGGGTCTTTGATGCTGATCCTAACCCTGCCAAAGAACGCCCACCACCTGAGAACCTTCTCCTCTGTGGTTAGTAACTAGTAGTACTTTTGAGCAACTTTTTTTTTTTTTTTTTCCTTCTTTTTACTTCTTTAACATGTAGCTTTTGGACATACATTTTTTTGGTATGGTACAAAAAGATTACCTTATTGATATAATTGCGCAGTTTCAAACCCTTGTATGTTTATTAAAATCCATTGGATTTACATGATATTGTTTGGTTCTGAAATGTTTTATTAATGATGTTCGGAAACACACATTAATATTGGTAGGAATATTCTTCTATTATTTTGGATAAAAACACAATATTGACAAGAATAAATCTATAATAGGACGCCTATTGTTCTCTTTTTCATATTTAACGTAGAAACTCAGCACTTCAAGGTGAAGTTAAGTGTGAAATTAATGCTAGATTATACCTGAAATACAATTATGTCAATAGAATTTGAGTGTCACTTGTAGTAACTCTTCTTGAATATGTCCTAGCCAATCTTAGTACTAGCATGGCCAAACAATTCACCTGTTACTATCACAAGACTTTCATGGTTCTGAAATGCCTACTAAATGTATGTTTTTTGTTGTGCATATTTACAAAAAATAAAAAATAAAAAATAAAAGTCCATTGGTTTACTATTTGTTTTTGACAAGTTTTTTGTGGGTGTTTATGCAGGGATTTTTGATGAATCACAGCCTCCATTTAGTGCGCCGCCTCTTGCTCCAGTTGCAGGGCGGTGATTTGAGTTGAAGCCTCTCTTAACAGATGAATTATTTGTTGAAGATCGCACGCATTCATTAATGCCATTTGTAACATTTTTACTCCCTTAATGAGAGAAATGATACCTATGTGTGACCCATTATCTTGGTATAATGAATTTATTTCCATTTAATGAAACATTCGTTATCTTTATCAATCAGTAAAAAAAAAAAAAAGATAAATATTTTCAATGGTATGCACACTGCACACACTTGCCTTGACATTCTATATATGATTCTATCCGTCGTCTTTCTTGTTATCTCTTTTTTTTTTTACTATTATTTTTTTATTATTTTTTATTTTTTTATAATAATTGGTGATTGATTTGTGGGAGATCTAGAAGAATGCTCTCGTATTGAAGGAGCTTAAAGATTAGTCTAGTATCTCCTCAGGCTAGCCGAGGTGGTAGGGATGAATAGAGTTAAAAAAAAAAAAAATTTCTTTGTTCGCTATATTATTTTGCTAAAATAAAATACCTAGATAAGCTTTCATTCCTCGTTACTATTTCTTTTAGTATAATACTAAAACAATTGTTCAAAACTATATTGAATTTATTTTCTTGTTTTGTACTTGTTCAATCTCATTTCGTTTCTTTTATGTGCTTTCACCATTGTTTCCTTCTTACTTAGCTCATTCAAAGGCTTTTATAAACGTATTATTTGAACAATGGAAGATCTAGCTTTTCAATTCATCCTATAAACCATATAGAGCTCAAAATAAGCCTAGGCACAACACTATGAAATTAATGGCGTCATCTGGTGGATCGTCGATGGTTTTCTGTGGTGGCTATTTTTCTCGAATTCCTCACCTTTCTAGCCGACGGGACGGATCTATTTTTCGAGTGGCACGTCGCGATCGACACAACTGCCAGACTTGTATTTGATCATGAGCAGCCAGTGAAAATTGCGACAACATAAAATGTGTTTTGTTAGTTGCCTAAATGCACAATTTGAAGTCTTTAATTTGATTGTTATTTTTCAATGTGTTTTTCTGTTGTGAGCAGATTATTACCATTAATGGGATGTTCCCTGGGCCCCTTCTCAATACCTCAACCAATGATGTCGTTCATCTCAATGTTTTCAACGACATAGATGAACCACTTCTCATTACATGGTTTGTGCATATTCATTGAAAACTCATCTTTATTATATATACTAGTTGGAGACACGTGCAAAAGCGTGTGAATTTAAATTTATTGACTTGTTTGATGCATGTATAATTTAGTTATTTTTTAAAATTTATTAATTAATTATTTAAAGATATATTTGAAAAAATAGTCTACAAGAAGTTCGTTAAGAAGAAAACATTTAAGTAGGACAAGTATTTATAGCGGTCATATTTGAATAAAATAATATTTTCAAAGACTATAAGAAAGAATGTTTATATATTCTTTTAGGCATAAATCGATGTAGCATATAAAAAAATATTTTTAAAAGGCACATTTAAAAGTATAAATTTTAAAAGTAGTATTAACATGTGTATTTTAAAAGTAGTATTAACTTAAGTAGTGATTCATAACATTACTCTACTTCTATAATAATTTTTTTTAAAAGCAAAATGTTCTCAAAACATATTATTCTGAACGTTACTCCGCCATATTTTATCATAAGGAACTAGTAATGATACATATCATAAAAAATTTTAAGCAAGAATATTTTGTGAATTCTATGAAATTGAAATTGCTATTTTATCCTAGATATTTTATCCTCAACAAGTTATATAACGTTTGATAATATGTCGTAAAAACTTTTTTTTTCCTTTTGTTTCCTAATTTATTGTTAATGAATCTCACTAATTCAGTGTGCCTCATCTTCGAAATTATTGTTAATTCAGTTCCTAATCCACAAGGAACTTTCAATGTTACAAACGTGTGACACTATCAGTCTTTCATTCTTTGTGCCTCAACAGCCCAGATTGGTGGAGTTCCTCGTTTCACAGTCAACAATGTGTCATACCTGATCCCAGAAATTCCTCTGAATTTGGCCGATCACTTTGTCAACGGCTCCGGGACATACGAACTCGACAAGTACCAGACTGACTCGACGTACCCAAATGCGGTGCAAGGCGTGTTTGTTGCATCTGGGACTCACGAAGGGTGGATACAGCTTGTGTTCAAGAATGGTTTTGGATATCATTGATTCTTGGCATCTTGATGGCTTTGGCTTTTATGTTGGAGGGTAAGTATTAAGTGTCAAAAATAATGCATATGAGTCAAAATTTTTCGGATTTTGTAAGATTGAAATTACTGTTTTATCCTAATCTTTTTACCTCTAACGAGTTACATTCTAAGTTTTTTTTTTTTTTTTTTTTTTTTTTAATGTGCTTTTGGTGCTAAGGTTTGGCGATGGTGAATGGATCCCGAAAGTTCGATCCACATACAATGTTTTCGACCCGGTTGTCCGATCCACTGTGCAAGTGTACCCTGGAAGATGGACTGCAGTTTATGCATATTTAGACAATCCTGGGATGTGGAATTTGAGATCACAACACTTGAGGCATTGGTACTTTGTAGAAGAGCTTTATGTGAGAGTTTATGATCCTGATCCCAACCCTGCTAAGGAGAAGCCAATCCCAGACAACGTACTCCTTTGTGGTTAGTGTCACGTCTATCAATTTTGTTATTTTATTCTCGTTGCAATTTCTTACCTTTTTAAAATTCTGCAATAGGGTGCCAAAATAAAGAAAAAAAAACTAGTAATATTGACCATTTCTGAATCATATAAGCACATTGTTTGAAATTGATTTTATCACTTATATTAGGTACTCTGCCATATAATCCTTTAACCTATCCTCTGTGTTCCGTGCTTTGTATGTGCGTGTATTTTTCTTTTTCAAATAAGTTGTGGATATCTTATGAGAAATATTACAACATTGTTGTAGTACTAGTGGGCTGAAATTTCTAAATCTGTATTGCATAAGTCACGTTATAAGATCAACATAAGTGTTATGACATTCTCCGGGCGAAGCACTTAGGCGGCCAGGATTGGAGACTGCATTACATTCTCTGGAGGAAGAGAGTGAGCAGACAAGGAACATTAGCAGATCTCACATGTTAGAAAACATCTTTCTTGTGTTTGTGTCCATGTGACCAAGCCTATGAGAGCTTGCTTCCTCCTACCAATCCAGTTGCGTCACGTGTCATGCTTATTAAATCAATAGTTTGGATCAATTTGAAATGTTTGTTGATTTCTGATGGCCAATAGAAATTTAGTTTCACCTAGTCCTTGCCGCATTGGATTAAGTCTAAAATATTGGATTCTCATTGCAAAATCAGTTCATTCTGCGCATCCTCCATGACTCTACAGCATCCACGTATTAGACTCATCTGCATTCCAAGGCCTATAAATAGGCTGCTTCCCCAACTCTTCAAAATCAATCCCTCGAGCCTTAGAGCTCTTTAGAAATAATAAAAAAAGAAAAATCTTTGTTTCAGCAATTCTTAGTTTAAATTTCAAAGTTTATAATTTTTAGTTTTTAAGTTTGAATTCTGGAGGAGGAGTTCCGAATCCTGTTAGGAGATATCCGAAGCAAAAATCAGAAACTATATCCGCCTCTAGTGTTTGTACTAAAACTCTCCTTTATTATTGTTGTTATGAAAATGTTATTTGAATTTTTTATGTATTGTGTTAGTTTAATTATAATTATGTTTTAAATTTAATTTTTACCGGGATAATGACGTAATCATATTGTAACACCCTGAAAAATTAATTGAGATTAATTAAGATAATTGAGATTATTAGTGTGCCTAATCTGATTTAATTAATTGAGTTTTGATTAATAAATGTTTCTTATACGTGTGAGTTTAAATAGTTCCAAGGTATTTAAATTATTCTCAGTAGTTTATTTTAACCCAGAAGTGTGTATGGGCGCATTTCTGGACTGCTCTTTTAAAATATTGACACTTGTCCATTTTCTTTTATTTTCTTTTTCTTTTTCTTTTCTTCCTTTCCTTTTCTCTTTCCTTTCACGTGCATCTCTCTCTCTCACTCTCTCTCACTCTCCCGTGCTCTCCCTCTCTCTCTCTTATTTGTGTCCCAAATCAAACGGATCTTGAACCAAAGAAAGATTTAAAGAAGTTTTCAACGTCAAGAGAAGGATTCGAGGTAAGATTACTGAAAGAACCTCTCTTGAATCTCAAGTTTTTAAATTTCAAAACTTATTTTTGGTTTAAACCGGATTTTAATGGTTTTTGAGTAAAATGAGAGTAGAAATTGGAGATCTTGGGTTCTTTAGACTTGTTTTAGGACCTAGAATCCAGATCTAGTGGTTTCCCTTTGAAATATCTCGATTTGGGACTAGATTTGTAGGTTTTTAGACTGGTTTTCGCGAGCTTCTCTCGCGCAGCTGATTCCACCGGTCGACCTATCCGGTCGACCGGATCACATGGAAACCGGTCGACCTATGCAGTCGACCGGATTGCAGGCTGACCGGTGGACCGGTGTGCACACTACCGGTCAACCGGTAGTGTTGCACTGCTCTGTCACCGGTCGATCGGTGCACACGGGTTTGACCCTGTTTGGCCTGAAAATGCTGTTTTGACCCCTGTTTTTGGGGAGAACCTAAATTAGCTTCATTTGGGGACTTGAGATAAATGGATTAGCATCTTTAATCCTTGATTTGAGATTGAAAACCCTTGGAATGATAATTTGAAACATGAAAATGGATTAGGGCACACTAATTGAAAATCTTGGTGCATAATTGAGATTTGGATTGCTTTAGGAGTAAGAGTTAATCCTAAAGTGTTATCTTGTATCAGTGATCGCTGAGGATTCAGACTGAAGGGGCTTGAGGAAGCGGAAGCCGGAAAAGGTAACGCTAGTCCCAGGTTTGATAGTGCGAGGTAGGATTTCTATCCCTTTTCCTTGTGAGCATGTTTTCAAAAAGATTTTGGCCTTGGAAATGTTTTAAAGAAGGGGGTTGGTTTGCGAAAGAAAAACTCTTTGAAAACCATGGCTTGTGGAGTTTATGGAATCCATGGCTTGTCCTGTCCATGAAATCCATAGCTTGTCCAGTCATGGAACCTCATGGCTTATCTAGTCATGAGGCCCGCGGCTTGAGCAAAGAGATCTTGTGAACTAGTAAGAGAGTCTATTGCTGTAAGCCTAGATAGGATGCGGATAGTGCGTCCTCGGGGGCATAACCTGAAACTTGGTCCGGGTAGGCGAGACACTTGGTTAGGTAAGTAATTTGTACTAATTACTTGCTGAAGCCTGTAAAACGATTATTTTTAGTTATATTTCCTTTGAGAAAAAGGATGTGAGGTTCCGGCTATCTGTTGGAACTGAATGTTTTATTTTATTTACTTATTCATTTATCTATTCCCTCGCTCACTTATTATTCATTTATTTATAACGTTTATTTCAAATTATATCCTACTGGGCATTTCGCTCACGTTTTATGTTTTAAATGTATTAAACCCCTCCCAGGAGATTCTAGGAGTGGTGCACAGTAGCTGGATATTTGCTACAGAGCAGCTGAGTTGTGCTGTTGTTGGAATCAAGTGAGGATTGTGATCATCCTCTGGAATAAAATGTAAGGAATTGAGAATTCTGTAAACTCTTGAAATATTTGGATTAACTAGACTGTGGTTGATATCTGTTGTAATGATTATTTACATGTTCATGTATGTATGATACTGTATGTCCTGTGGGGTGGAGCCCTGTGTGTTGTCAGAGGCTTGGGATTCTTCGGTAATTTATTTATATTTTAATGCAGTCGAGTGGGGCTCGTCTGGGAATCTACTTTATTAACCCCTAATCGAGCTCCACGTCACCCACCCCGTTTGGGGGGCGTGACAGAGTGGTATCAGAGCACTAGGTTAAGAAATCCCAGGATTGTACATACATGTGTGACATTTGTTATCCACTGAACAATCTAGTTTTATTTCAGTTAAAGGAAATGGCGCCTCGCCGTAGGCCCGCTAATCAACCGGCACAACCGAATCAGGGATTTCTGGATGCCATGTATGCTGCCTTTCAAGGCATGGCCACTAAAGCTCAAAACGAGCGGCCGGTTGAGGATAGGAAGCAAGGTTACTTCCAAAAATTTAGGTGTGAGCCTATCCCCTCGTTTAATAGTGAGGGAGGACCCCAGGAGGCAGAGTTCTGGTTAGACTCTATTGTCAAGCATTTGAGTACTATGGGAGTTCCAGATGAATACTGGGTAGAATTTGCAGTATACAAGATGGATGGCTTAGCGAATACTTGGTGGAAACAGGTCAAGAGAAGAATAGATGTTGCAGGACTGACCTGGGAGCAGTTTGAGACATTGTTCAATGAGCAGTACTTCCCTAAGAGTTATAGGGATGAAAAAACGTTGAAATTCATGTCTCTCCTGCAAGATGATATGTCTGTAAGGGAGTATGAGGCCAAGTTTAACGACCTATCCCGGTTTGCTCCATCTTTGGTGGAATCTGAACACCTTAGATGTCTTAAGTTTGAAAAGGGCCTTAAGAATTCTGTGAGGAGGTCATTGGTGGCTTTAAGGATTCAAAATTTTCAGGATTTAGTAGTTGCTGCTATAACGGTGGAACATGATAACTTGGCCTATCACCAAAGCAAAGAGGCGACTGGTCGGGTCTCTGTCTCTGGTAGACCCTCTGTTTCAGGTGGGCCACAGCAGAGTGGTAGAAGAAACTGCAACCAGGGATAGAAGGTTGGGGAAATGACAAGCGGTGGCAGTAGTTCATCCGGAAGTGACAGAAATGCTCTATACGGGCCCAGGTGTCACCATTGTTGGCAGGTGAGTCATATTAGGAGGAATTGTCCTAATCGGCCGCCGGCTCAACAAGCCCAAAGCGACGCTTCCTACAGTCAAGAAGGGCCACCACAGTACATGCCACCATATCATCCACAACAGATGCCATACCCTCATGTGCTGACTTATCAACCACCTCCATATACACAATTCCGGCCTCAAGCGCCGAGAGCGGTACAACCACCTCCACCACAACAGTATAGGCCTCTGACCCAACGGCCTAATGTTGGTGACAGATGGAAAGGGAAAGTACATGGACAAGCTTATACCCTGGCAGGAGGCAGCTTTGGAAGTTAGACCAGCAACGCGGTGGTTGAGGGTATGATTCTAATCTCTCATTCTTTTGCTCACGTGTTATTTGATACAGGTGTCACACACTCGTTCGTATCAAGTTCTTTTGTACGGACCTTGAAACTGAAATATGAGAATTTAGAAGTCCCGATGACTTTGAACTCTTCACTGGGATGTGTGGAGGTAATGAGTGTGTGTAAATCGTGTGAAATCACGATTGGCGGTGAGCGATTGAGAGCAGATTTGATTATCCTTCCGATGAGCCTGTTTGACGTGGTACTCGGAATGGATTGGCTGTCAAGGTACGATGCGATTGTTGATTGCTACCGTAGAAAAGTAACTTTGGTGATGAATTCTGGAACAGTGATTGCTTATCAGGCGGATATGAACCCAGTCCTGGGGGAACGACTGTTGAAGTACAACGTTGGTGGACGGAGGAACTTGGCATGTTTATCTTCTCTTCTTGCTCTAGAAGGTGAACCCGAGATAACTGGAGATAGTGTGGGAATCCCTGTAGTGGATGAGTTTACAGATGTATTTCCTAATGAGCTACCTGGTTTACCGCCAGATCAGGAGATTGAATTCTGTGTTGATTTGGTTCCGGGAACGACACCTATTTCCATTCCTCCATACCGGATGGCTCCGGCGAAGATGAAAGAATTAAGAACGCAGCTTGAGGAGCTGGCAGAAAAGGGATATATCCGGAATAGTAGTTCCCCTTGGGGTGCACCGGTGCTATTTGTGAAGAAGCACAACGGATCTCTTCGGTTGTGCATTGACTACCGTCAATTGAATAAGGTGATTGTGAAGAACAAATACCCATTGCCGAGGATCGATGAGTTATTCGAACAGTTGGGTGGATCATAGTTCTACTCTAAGATTGACTTGAGATCTGGGTACCATCAGCTGAAAATCAAGGAGGAAGACATTATGAAGACTGCTTTCAGAACTCGATATGGACACTTCGAGTTTCTTGTAATGCCTTTTGGGTTGACGAATGCCCCAGCTGCATTCATGGATCTAATGAACTGTGTTTTCCGGCTGTACTTGGATCGGTTCGTGATCGTCTTCATTGACGACATATTGGTTTACTCGAAGACTTGGGAAGAACATGAGAAGCACTTGAGAATTGTTCTTCAAACTCTTCGAGAACACCAGTTGTATGCTAAGAAGGGGAAATGTGACTTCTGGCTGACAGAAGTGAAGTTCCTTGGGCATGCGATTTCTGGACAGGGAATTTCTGTAGATCATTCCAAGATCGAGACTGTGCTACAGTGGGAAAGGCCGAAGAATATAGCAGAGATTCGCAGTTTCCTCAGACTTGTAGGGTACTATCGGCGTTTCGTAAAAGACTTCTCGAGTATTACTGCACCGATAACTCGGTTGACCAAGAAAGAAGTCAGATTCCAGTGGGACGCTGAATGTGAAAATGCTTTTCAGGAATTGAAGGTCAGACTGACAAGTGCACTAGTCTTGACTATTCCTGATAGTGAGGAACCATATGAGGTGTATTCTGACGCCTCAGGGAGTGGCCTTAGCTGTGTGTTGATGCAAGGTGGACGCATGGTAGCGTACGCATCTCGCCAATTAAGACCACATGAACGAAATTACCCCATTCATGATTTGGAACTGGCAGCGGTAATATTTACTCTGAAGATATGGAAATGTTATCTCTATGGAGTAAAGTTTCAGGTCTTTTCTGACTATAAAAATTTGAAGTACTTGCTTACTCAAAAAGACTTAAATCTCAGGCAAAGGAGATGAGTGGAGTATATGGAAGATTACGACTTCACTCTGCAATATCATCCTGGAAAAGCTAATGTGGTGGCTGATGCCCTTCGTAGGAAGACGACGGGGACTCTGGCATCATTAGCTTTGGAAGATTGGAAAAGGACTGAAGTGGTGAGTAAGTATGATCTTCAGTTCTACGAAGATCATAACCAGACTATGGTGTATAATCTGATATCTACACCAGATATTGTGCAACAGGTTAAGCAGAATCAATGGCAGGATCCACACCTCCAAGGAATTTGGATTCGGATCCAGAATGGAGAGCAATTCGAGGATTGGAGAATCCGAGAGGATGGAGCCTTGTATTTCCGCAATTGCCTTGCTGTTCCTAAGGCGGGTGAGGTAAATAAGACGATTCTGTAAGTGGCACACAAATCGAGGTATGCTATTCATCTGGGAAGTACAAAGATGTACCATGACCTGAAAAGACAGTATTGGTAGAGAGGCATGAAAAGGGACATTCGTGAGTATGTCTCGGAATGTGTGACTTACCTCCGGATTAAAGCTGAGCATAAGAAGCCAGCGGGAGAGTTACAACCTCTTCCTGTCCCTGGATGGAAATGGGAGCACATCACTATAAATTTTCTAATTGGGCTATCGAGAACCGAGCTGAAGCACGATGCCATCTGGGTGGTGGTGGACAGGTTGACGAAGTCCGCGCACTTCATACCATTCAGTGTGACGGATTATCGAAAGATTCTGTCAGAATTGTACCTAGAGCACATCGTGAGACTACACGTAGTGCCACTGTCTATCACGTCTGATCGTGATACCCGCTTCAATGCAAGGTATTGGAGGAGTTTTCAGGAAGCCATATGAACAGACTTGAACTTCAACACAACATTTCATCCTCAGACTGATGGGCAATCTGAAAGGGTAATTCAGATTCTGTACGATATGCTTCGTGCTTGTATTCTGAAATTTAGTGGAAACTGTAAGAAATACCTGCATCTAGCTGAGTTTGCTTATAACAACAGCTATCAGGCCAGTATTAGAATGACACCGTTTGAAGCTCTGTATGGTCGTCCTTGTAGGTCACCTGTGTGTTGGTTGGAACCAAAGGATCGACTGAGCACTGGACTAGAAGTCATTCAAGAGAATAATGAGAAGATAGCTGTGATTCGAGAACGACTGTTGACAGCTTAAAGTCGTCAGAAAAGTTATGCTAACAGAAGGCGTAGGCCTTTGGAATTCCAAGATGGCGACTTTGTCTTGCTGAGGGTTTCCCCACGCAAGGGAGTTGTTCAGTTTGGTGTGAAAGGGAAACTTGCACCAAGGTATGTGAGACCATTCCCAATCGTGCAATGAATCGGAGTGGCACTACACCACAGTTGGCTTTTCGTAGCGGTTAATTATAACGTTTCTCAAAAAACGTTACTGCACCGGTATATAATAGCGTTTAAAAATAGTTATAATATATATATATATATATTAAAATTTCATCACATTTTGACTGATTTATTTTATATATATTTAAAAATATATAAATGTACATATTACAATTACATTGGGTTGGGCGGGCATTGGAAATAAATTTTCCAATTTTCCCGCTGGCTCCTCCCCTTTTTTTTTATTTTAATTTTTTAATTTTTATTTTTTTTGCTCTGAAATGCAATACAAGAACTAGGGCTGTTCATAAACCCGCACAACCCGCAAACCCAACCCACCCCGCCCCAATCCAAGCCGAAAAAAGCAACCCGCAGCATTATTTTAAAATTTTCAGCCCATTATACCTCTGGCCCGAAGTGTTTGGGGCGGATTGCGGGTTGGGCCCATAACAACCCGTAATCCCCAACCCAACCCGCACAACATACCCCCAAGCTTTCGGCCTAAGCCCAAGCCCAACCTGCCCAAGTTCTACCCTAGGCTCGCTGACATTAGGTAAGACATCTCTAGGTAAGACAATAATTTATATGTATCTTAATCTATTTTATTATATGAACTCTAAACTATCCAAATTTTTACTTAAGCTATTTTCATTTCTCTTGTAGATAACTCAACTTCATGTCCTACTACAACCATTGAGGAGCCTATGAGTGTGGATTGATAAAGATGGTTGATGTTGCAATGCTTGCTTTGGATGGATTTGAATTAAGATTTAAGCCTCTATGTTTGCTTTGCTTAAGCTATTTGTTTTATGTTAAGATTAATTTATAAGTGTAGACTAATTTATGTTTGCTTTGTATTTGATGTTGGATGGACTATTTTGCTTCATGTTTGACGTTAGATGGACTGATAAAGATAGTTACTATTTTTATTTAATGATGAAATTTGAATATTATATTAAACTTTAAGTCTTTGATTTTTTAAATGTTGAAACTGACCACCCAACCCACCCCGCACTGTCCCAACCCAACCTGAACATCGTTGAGTTGTGAAATTTTCTAACATCGTTAGCGCTAAATATGTGTAACCCACACTCTTTAAGGCAGGGAAAAAAAAATTCTATCCCACACCAACCCAACCCATGAACAGCCCTAACGAGAACAAAGGAAAAGAAAAAAAAAAAAAGAAACCTCAGGCGAGGAAAACCCATCCAAAGTTCAAGCTCGTGAATCCCCCATCCAAAGTTCATCAATCTCAAAAACCCAATTCCAAAACAAACCCAGTTCGTCCCTCACCTCTCAAATCCTCGGCAGGGACGGCGCTGCGATTTCGAAAATCTAGCTGGGGCGGGGTAGTGAGCTGCTGCGACGGCGTCATCTGGCGAGGAAAACCCAGAAAGCCCAACGAAGCTTCCAGATCCGCCCCATGGATTTTGATGGGGTTTCTTTGAAACTTCTGGGCATTCGTTCATATTATCTTTCTGGGTC